TGGGCGGGGCGCAGTTTGGCACCGCACAACCAAGTTGGGGCACGAAAGCGAACCAAGCTCTACCCGTGGCAGGGAAGGGGCGTAGCAGAGCAGACTCTCTGCCTGGCAAAGAAGCCACTGGGGGGGGAGGGGCGGCCGGCGGCAGATTTATTCTGTCAGTGTATGTACTAAGTGTGCAATGTGAAAAAATGGGCAGCTGACTATCAGCACCTTAAAATGTAAAATCCAAGGGTCACAAAGGTTTTGAGGATGTGAGCAGAACTTACTGCCTATGCATCCTGTTAAAAGCATGGTGGAAACACTAATTTTTCAGTACCCAGTAGAACTTCTTTAGCACAAGAACATGTAACCTTATCTGTGTTACAGAGAGCAGGTCTACTCAAAATTAAGCCCCATGTTATTCAATATAGCTTGCGCCCAGGGCAATGTCTTTAGTGTTGCAGTCACAATTGTATTCCATTTAGGAGCTGTTATGGCAAGGGGCAGAAGGGAGCTATGGTTTGTGTTGTTGCTGCTGGAGTATGTTTAAAATTAGGATACTTTAGGTGCTTGAATAATCCAGGTTCTTTTTGGGCAGAGTGCCTGTCTTGTTGTAGTGGTTAAGTGCGCGGACTCTAATCTGGGAGAACCGGGTTTGATTCCCCACTCCTCTGCATGCAGCTGCTGGATGACCTTGGGCAAGCCATAGTTCTGACAAGAGCTGTCCTTGAAAGGGCAGTTCTTGAAAGAGCTCTCTCAGCCCCACCTACCTCACAGGGTGTCTGTTCTGGGGAGAGGAAGGGAAAGGAGTTTGTAAGCTGCTCTGAGACTTCGAGTGAAGGGCGGGGTATAAATCCAATCCTTCTTCTCCATGAAATTGCTGAGCGGTCCATGAAATTGCTGAGCGGTCGGGTTAGAACGGACAAAAGGAAGTACTTCTTCACCCAAAGAGTGATTAACACTTGGAATTCACTGCCACAGGAAGTGGTGGCGGCTACAAGCATGGACGGCTTCAAAAGGGAATTAGATAAGCATATGGAGCAGAGGTCCATCAGTGGCTATTAGCCACAAGGTATAGATAGGGACTCTGGGGCAAGTGATGCTCTGTCATCTTGGTGCTTGGGGGGGGGTCAACAGTGGGAGGGCTTCTAATGTCCTGGCCCCACTGGTGGACCTCCTGATGGCACTGGTATTTCTGGCCACTGTGGGATACAGAGTGTTGGACTGGATGGGCCTTTGGCCTGATCCAACATTGGCATCTCTTATGTTCTTATGTTCTATATATCCTTTAAAAGTTTGAAAGAGAACTATGTAATGGAACGTAACAGTTATAGCCTTGCCTCACATAACCTATCTATAGTTTGTTCTTTCCGAGGGAGTGTATTTCCAAGTGAGTGTATACACAGTGGAGTTTAGCACTTCCTAGTACCAGCATGTACAAGGCAGTCTCTGTTGCCCAGGATACCAGGCTCTTACCAGCATGTTGCTTCACAAGATAGTTGAAATCTTGCTGCTGTATTCTTTCTTACTCTTTATATATCTTTTAGAGAATTCTGCTTGTAATGTTACAGAGTAATGGCGAATGTTTCCATTTCTCTTTAGCAGTTCTTTTTACTAAAAAAAATCCATACTATTCCGAGGTTGGGCCTCTCATAGGTTTTTCCTGCCTTCAGTAACTCCCATTAAGTTAGATTTAGGTGGGTAGCCATGTTGATCTGAAGCAGCAGAACAAAGTTTGAGTCCAGTAGCACCTTTAAGACCAACAAAGTTTTATTCAAGGTATGAGCTTTTGTGTGCATGCACACTTCTTCAGATATCTTCAACATAGTATTTCAAAGTACCCTGAAAGCTTAGTAGGTAATAATTTGCTTCTTAAAACCTGTAAGCCAACATTTCAGTCAGGAGATTCCATGCAACATATTGCAGCAGTCAAGGTGAAACATATTTTCTCATGGCTCCTGAATTTCTGGAACCTTTGCATTTCTAGTATATATCAGTGCTATGGCTACACTCAGTTATAACTTACAGGCTTCCCATTGCTGAGACTGAACACTTCTGCATACCCAACAAAACACAGTTTGACATGGTGCCCAAATTGGATGCAGTGACAAATGTTGGTTTTGTTCTGTTGTCTACAAACCATGTTTCCAGACCACAGTGGCTTGGAATCCTGGTTTGTGGGCAACAGGACAAATACAAATAATAGATCATTTTGTCCTACAGGATGTTTTTAGACTCAACTTTGTATGAAGGAACCAGGGCATACAGGAGCCTGAGGACTTCCAAAGCTTGTTCCTGTAACAAACTGATTTGCTGCATCTGAATATTTATTTAGGCAATTCTGCTTCTGTCCCCACTGGGAACCCAAAATGCTTCATAGCACTGTTCTCCCTCTGTATTATTCTCACATCAGCCTGGTGAAGCAAGTTAGGGTGACTGGCCCTAGTAAGTCTCCATGGCTGAGTGTGGATTTGAACTTGCGACTGCCAGATCCTAGTCCAACCACAATATCATCCTGGCTTCCAGAGTACAAGTGTTATGCCATTGTCACACCTAATATTTTTCCAAATTTATATAATTTATTGGCAGGAAAATAAAGTATGATAGGTGTTGCTATAGAAGGGAGTAAGGTATGGAGCAGCACCTCTGTGTCTTGTTTTCAGCCTTACAAGTATGCCTTGCCTTCTCACCCTTCAAGACTTGCATCATGGTATATGCAGCCATAATGCCTTCTCCCCTGCCCAGGGCCCATTAACTTTCTCTTGGCTAGACTTTTAGCTGTTTAAGCAGCCTTGAGAAAAGGGATACCATTATGTGTACACATTTCTACAATTGTGCAAGATGAACCGCAGTATAGCAATCAGAAGTGCCACATTCTGCAACCTGAGCTGAATTGCACAAACTTGGATGTGTTCTGTATATTCTTTTAGCCATGGAGACTAGCATGTAGGTGAGCTTGCAGTGAAATATCACCCCTGCTGACTAGTGGAAACCCTACTGAAGGCCAGCTTTGGCCTTTTGTTCAGTCTCACCTGTGCAATTATAACATCTGGAAATTAGGGTTTTTGAATGTTGGGTTCCATCCCAACTGTGGGTTGTGCATGCCCATGATATAGGTGATTGGAATATTTGGCAGCTGCTGAAGAATAAGTTTTGTTTGTTCTTTATTTAATTTGCTTCTCGGTTGCTGTACTGTTGTTGGACTGTAGGCAACAGTTTTTTGTTTGGGAACATCTGAGCTTCGTTCTGCTTGCCCTAGTAGCAAAGTCCTTCCTAAAAGACTTCAAAAAAATCTTCTGCAGAAAAGTTGTGACTTATGTACTATTTTTTCTGGTTTCTTGCAGTGAACACCTACCTCTTCATGATGCAAGCCCAAGGCATCATGATTCGTGAAAACATGAGGACGATAGGAGCACAGGTTTATGAGCAGGTGGTCCGCAGTGCCTATGCCAAGAGGAACATCAGTGGGAATGATTCAGGTATGAATCTTTATAAATCTTATGACCTGAAGGAGGTATGTCAGTCTGGAAGTCTCAAGTGTTTGACTGTGTGGTGGGTAAACTGAAGCGATTTCCCTTTCTGAGATGTGTAGTCTCAAGTGTTTGACTGTGTGGTGAGGAAACTGAAGCGATTTCCCTTTCTGAGATGGCTCTCTCCCCAGAAGCACTGGACAGCTTTCAGTTACTGGGGGTTAGTGAATATATGGTGAATTGCATCATCTGGAGCCAGTATTTGTAAAGATACTGAAGTACTGATTTCCTCTGAAAATGAAATATAAAACCAGAATCTTGAATTCCATCTCTGCTAATTCTGTGGCCACTGTGTGTATGGCAACCTGGCAAGACTTTGTACTGACTTAATCTGTCAGCCCATCATACTAGCACAAAGGAATAAGCCTGCATATATCATTCAAGGGCAGGATATAAAAGCAAGAGAATCAGAAGTGAATTCTCATCATAAAGATCAACACACTGTTCTGTTGAATTATATCCCCTTTGGTAGAAGTATGCAGTAGTGGCATCTGGTGTCTGAGTCACAAGTGGACAGAGGCTTGTAACTTGTTCTTATACTTGAAACAGTAGCTGTTACATCAAGAAAGTGAAGTTGGTGAACTGAAATTCTCCCCTGGCTCAAAGGTGTGAGACTGTTAAACCATAAGGCATGAAAATGCCTTCAGTACAAAGGCTTAGAACGAAGTGTGTGTGTGTGTGGGGGGGAAACAGCTTGTACTGCTTGCCTGATTTTAATAGGAATTTGTTTATTTAAATATTGCTATGACAATAACAAGTACGCTTAATAAACTTCTCAGCCAGCCCTTAATGGAGTGCCCTGGGCTGTCATCTATTTGCAATTCCACGTTGGCCTCCCTTACACTCATATATGAATAAGCTGCTGCAATTACTGCTCCTTGTGACTGCTGAATTCAGTTAACAGCATGGGTTGGAACAATTAGGGATCAGAGTTGAATGTTGGACAAGAATAGTAATGCTTTCCTGTCTTCAAATTCTGCTTAGATTGAACAAGCTAGCTGAGGGCTTGTAAAATCCACACTGCAAGTGCAAGAAAACAGTTTTGCAAGAATCCTAGTGTTCTCTGTATCTACTGTGACAGCATCAACTAGCAAATTCTTAGATTATTTTTGTTGTCCATTCAGATAGGTTGCGGCTTAATAGGGAATTAAATGGTGTGCAAATTCTTCTGGCTGTTCTGTATTGTGCTATAGATAGATGTGAAGGAATCTGCTAAGTGCAACAGGGTTACAAGTGAAAGGAGGACACTGTGAAACCCTTAGCCTAAAGTGTATGTGTTATTCCTCCCAACCTAGATTATGCTGTTGATTTGAACCACAATGAAACCTTTCTGCAAACTACAACTTTTCTTCCTGAGGATTTTACCTACTTTCCAAACCATACCTGCCCTGAAAGACTCCCTTCTATGAGTGAGTACCGTTATGACTTACATTTCCATACAGCTTGCTTTCCCATCACTCCTTGCACAACATAATCCTTACCGATGTCCAAAGCTAGGTGGGTGAATAGGAGGGAGGTATATTCTATCTTGATGGTAAATTCGAAGTTGGTTGACAAAGGTTATCAAATTTGCTATTGGTAAAGGAAAGGTGGGAATTCATCAATGTGTGGGTGGTTCTTCAGTACTTAAATCCTTTGATTTTAATGCCAGTCCAGTTTACTAACAGGTATAGCATTGAACTTATCACTGAATTCAAATGCAGGCCTGCATTAGTTGTGTCATGTATACAAAAGCTGCTCATGCTGGATTTTTAGACATCAGGATAATTTTGAAATGGGCATGGTCCAGGAATTTCCCATTGATTTCAGTGACAGTGTTAATCATATGTTTGTTTCTGCCTGAATTCAGTTAATTCTTATTTGCGTTGGTTGATTTTTGCCTTAAATATGAGGTGACTTAGGATGACTTTTGTAGGGGGGGAAAGCTGCTTAAAATCCTCTAGAAGACCCACACACACACACACACACACACTCTGCCTGGTGGATGATATTCACAGGAACTGATTTCTCCTGCATGTGCCTTGAACCTGGGAATAGAACTGCTACCCCTTATTGGTTTCCAAGGCTTTGAACTAATTCCTATGCTTGATTACATTTGTGGGACAAAAAATACAAATGGAGAGTGGATATGTCTGCTTTGGAGTTCCCCAATTCTACGGCAAGTTTCAGTGAGATATCAGCCTCATGTCTTATTTGTTGTTTCCATTAATAACCTATAGCATATGTAAATCCGCTGCCTTTGTGCTCTGGTTTAGAAAGCAGTGGCTAAGATGATGGCAGGTTGAACTACAGCTAGAAATCCATCACTGACAAGATAACTTACAGGCATATAAGAACGAAATGAGTGTGAGAATTCCAACAATATATGTTCTTGGTTAGACGGGGCTTGTTTTTCACATTCTGCTGTCTAATTGCTATGCAGAGGGCCCCACTGATGTAAATATGAGTGAAATCAGCATGGAGGAGATCCACCAGTTCTTCTCTCAAGATCCCACTATCGAATTAGGAGGCCACTGGAAGCCTAAAGACTGTGTGCCTCGTTGGAAGGTAAGCTGGAGAATACGAGTACTGAAACTGGAGTTTCTCCAAGCAGTATTGACACCATAAGGAATAGAATATGTAACTAAGATATTTGGACCTTCTTTTTGCATTTGTATCTAACAGCTGTTGGCTATCGGCTTATCTACTTGTGGATCACTTATGACCAATAATTCATCTCAGTATCTACATAGTAGTCTTAGTGTCACAGCTAAGTGTTGCCCTTTTTAAGCTTGCTACTTCCTATCAAGTCCCTTGATTAAATTACACAACAGGTAAATAAAAACTGGCGTTAGGAGCTTTACGATTGCAATGGTGGAAGCTACTATTAATCCACAGAGAGAGGGGGGGGCAAGGAGGGAGTTATTCAGAACAAGCATCTGCTACATTCAGAAAGGTTAGTCGTATGGTAGATTGTGCTAAGATTGACTGGCAGAGTGAGGATTTGAGCTTGAATCTTTCAGATCCTAGTCTGATAGTCTAGCACTGTGCTGCCACTTAAATCTGCTTGCACATCCTAACAGTTTTCTGAGTTCCAAGTTTGGTACTATGGCCATATAGCTCTTCCTTAGGCTGCGACTTGCATAACCTGGCTTGGTCTGTGTCATGCAGTGTCAGTCTGCTTGGGGTGAGGTGTCTTGCTAGTCTGTCAAAGTTTCAAATACCTTATTGCTGTCTATACCCTGGATATGCTGAAAACACTAACTTAGTTACTTAATAGAACCTTGAATTGCAGCAGAACCAAAAGCTTAGAAAAATGCTCTACGAAACTTCCCTTGGTTTCTGAAGACAAAATATTTCTACCATGAAATTGCCCATTTTGATGGGTTTCATTCTTGGTAATAATGTTCATACATTAGTTGTACCGTCAGTTACTGTACTAGTGTCTTGCTTCTTCTCAGAATTACTGAGAGGGTGAAAACACTGGTATAATGTACAAAAGAAGACACCAGCTAATAATGACCAGAAAGTTTTTTCCCTCCAAAATATGTATTTGTACATTGGTAAAATCCATTGGTTCATCCATAAGCTTCACCTGAGAATGTTCTCTGTAGACTCCTAGATTAGTGTGTCCTGTGGATGTGGTTCTGGTGACTGCTTGTTCAGTGACTTTTATTGTTATCACACTGCTGTGCTAAAACAATAACACTTAATGTGTCATAAAACTGACAATTCAGTGAAATATAGTTTGCTTCAGAGATCTGCTTGTATTGAAAGATCTCCTGTCCTTCACGTTCCCATGCAGCAGCTTCATTCTTTTCAGCAGGCCTGTCTGTTTTAATGTTTGTTGTATCAGATGGTTTTTATACTTTTATCAAATTGTTTTTGTACTTTCACTCACCTTGGGTCTTAAGATGCTCAGGAGAAAGACGGGCATATAACTATTTTAGATAAATCCAGGAAGAGCTAATAAAGATTTTTATCCATCTAGGTGGCAATCCTCATTCCATTCCGCAACCGTTATGAGCATCTTCCAGTCCTCTTTAGACATCTTATTCCAATGCTGCAACGCCAACGTTTACAGTTTGCGTTTTATGTTATTGAGCAAGTAAGTTATCTTGCATGTGCCTTTTTCCCAAGGCTAATTCTTCTCCAGTGGTAATGAGAGAAACCGATGATGCTTTTCTCCCAGGATACATTGTGTAAGAGACACTGTTAACTGCCTTCCCTCTGGGGTTCTTGCACAATGGTGTTAAATCTCCAGAGTGTGCCTGGAGTGTGGTGGCAGTTCATACTTGCCAAGCTGCATACTGTGAAAGCTTCCCAGAGCTGCTACGTAGTGTGTTGCCATGCTCCAAAAACTTGTTGCAGTGACTGACATTTTGTATCCAAACATTCCTTTATATAAAGCTTCTAGGATAATAAAATAAATATTCATGATGTAATCCCATAGGTTTTTGAAAGCTGAAGACAGCAGAAATTTGTTTATGGCGGGAGACCTCTTGAATGATAACAAAAATGGCTTTGTTTTGCTGTGCGATTAGCTAATACCCAAACATACAATACATCTCTAGCCTGAAGATGCAGTACTAACATATGGACTGAAAATAGCAATGTTAGTAAAATGCTTTGAACTTATTCCAGCAGAATTTTCTGGAAGGAGGAAGGATGAGGAATAGGAAAGGACAATCCTAGGGCAAGGTGACAACTGTGGTATTTCTGTACATCAGTCCTACTTTCAGATGAACAGCAGTACCAACAGCTGTACATGATATCTGAAAGTCTCCTTTGTATGTAATGGTGTCCTGTAATACATTTCCGGTTCTGCAAGACCTCTAGGGCTTGTAGCCTCCAGGCTGCGGACAGTGATCAGGCCACAAACCCAAACTAGTCTGTCTGTGCACAATGTTGGGCAGATGGGATCCTGGAGAGGCCTAGCCTGTTCAAGAAGTGTTGCAAGTAAAACATCATTGCTCCTAATTCTGAGAACCCTTCTTCTGTGTGCCTCTCCAAATCTCTCTGTCTTGGTTTAACATGAGTGTTTTGTCCTGCCTTTTCTGAAATATGATTCAAAGCAGTTACTTCTCAGCATTGCCAGATGCTTTATTTGTTCATAGCTGTCCAGAAACCACCTTTCAAAAGGTCAGGCTGTTAGACCCTCTAGTCTGGTATTGCACATTTTGACTTGCAACCATTATTTGGAGTCTTGAGAACAAGTCCTTCGCAACACTTGTTACCTGAGATCCTGTGACTGGAGAAATTAGAGACTGAATCTGGAATTGTCTGCTTGCCAAACATATGCTCCATGGAACTAGAACACCTTCTCTAACAATTTATTGCTTACAGTTCTGTGGTAGTATATGTATCTTGCAATGATAAAGCCCCATAATACCTGGCATTTTTAGATAAAGAAAGTATTGAATCTGGGAAATCCGTATGATTAGCAGTCAGGGGCCAATATTGAGGTACATAGACCAGTGAACTGATTTGATATAAATTCATAAATTCCCCTTAGAAAAAATTCAAGTGCTTGAGAAAATGTAAGAGCTTTTGGCTATCCAAGAGATTGAGAGCTAGGCTCTACAGTAAATCCGTAAATTGGCTTTCATTGTCTTCCACCACTGTGCCAAAACTACCTGCTTCTCTCAAAAGCCAGTAGTTGGGAGTACAGCCGTTTCATTTATTGTGTTTTCACCTATGAGCTAAGCTAATCATGCCAAGGGCTACTATGGAAACCCCTCATCTTTGTGACATTTGAAGTTCTCTCATTAGCTTCTACGGCAATCTTAAAACATATCATGATGCTACTTATATGGTCCTGATCTCCTCAACATCTGTCCAAAATAATAAAGCACTGCTACTTTAGCAGAAAGCAGCCTTTTGTTTAGAAAGGCCGAAAACAGTATATTTCTCCTTAGAGAAGCACACAGACACAAACTATGTTTTGTACACATAGCCATAGTGGGGGAGGCTCGATTGGCTTCCTGACTCTTGAGGGTGTGCCTCTATAATTGGTACAGACTGTCAGGAGCCTAGGGGTGTGCAAAAAAAAAATTCGGTAAGATTCGGGTTTATTGAACCCGAATTTTTTTCGGGAAACCCGAAAAAACCAGAGTATACTGGTAAAGCATAGATATCCAAACATTTTCGGGAAACCCGAAAAATTCGGGTCCATTATATCCAATGGCGTCATTGAAGTCAATGGCAAAAATCCTCTGGAAAGTTGGCAGGGGGCTGGAGGGGAGGGGGTTTGAAGTAGAGGCTCCAAATTTGGACCGTGGCTGCTCCAGCCTCTCCCCAAATGACCCCCAAGGTTTTGATAGGATTGGTCCAGGGGGTCCAATTCCAGGGGCATCCAAAGAGGGTGCCCCCAGATCAGCGTGCTGCCTTGCCTGCCTATCGCTGGTTTGCTGCTGAAATCTGGCGGTAATTCGACCCCATTATATCCTATGGGCCATTTGGCACAATATGGGGCTTTACCGGTGTAGATATTTGGGTTTTTCCGGGAATCCCAAAAAAAATCGGGTCCAATAAATCTAAATCCGAATTTTACCTTTTTTTGTTTGAGGAAGAGGCTCCAAACTCGGAGGGGGGCTGCTGGAACCTCTCCCCAAGATACCCACCAAGTGTCAAGAAGATTGGACCAGGGGGTCCAATTCTACGAGCCCCCAAACAGGTTGCTCCCATCCCTCCATTGTTCTCTATGGTGGGAAAAAATAACTTTTCCCCCACCATAGAGAGAACAATGGAGGGATGGGGGTAACCTGTTGGGGGAGCATGTTTGCATTGCCAGCCAGGCCCAGCCAGCACTGCAGCAGAACCATAGCGATCTGCCCCCCCAACCTGTGCCAAGGTGCCCAAAACCAACATAACTTGGTTCAAACCAGCAGCATAGACTGAGGGAGCATGTTTGTGCATTGCCAATGCCAGCCAGGCCCAGCAGCAGAGCCAGAGCAATATGCCCCCCCCCCACAACCTGTGCCAAGGTGCCAACTGCCAGTCAGTGCCCAAAACCAACAGAACTTGGTTCAAACCAGAGAATCTCTGCAGACTGCAGCAGCAGCCTACAGACTGAGGGAGCATGTTTTCGCATTGCCAATGCCAGCCAGGCCCAGCAGCAGAACCAGTCCAGAGCAATCTCCACCCCCAACAACCTGTGCCAATGTGCCAGGCAGTGCCCAAAAAACCTCAAAACCAACAGAACCAGACAATCTCTCCCTCTGCAGCAGCTGCAGCAGCCTATATAGGGAGCATGTTTGCATTGGTAGCCATGCCCAGCAGCAGAACCAGAGCAATCCCCCCCCCAACAACCTGTGCCAATGTTGCAATCCCCCCCCCCCCCCAACAACCTCTGTGCCACACAAACCCAACTGGACTCAGGTCAAACCAGAGGATTTCTGCAGTGTATAAACTGAAGGGGGGGCAGGCAGGACCTGTGCAAGTGAGCAATCAGCTAGGGGTGTGCGATTCCCCCTCAGCACATTAAGAGAGGCAAAGGGACGCCAGAGGAACCCAAATGGGCCCAAATCTGAGTGGTTGCCAACTCTCTAGGGGGCGCCCAAAGATTGAGATACCCACTTTCCTGGGGGAATCTTCCAGAGGGGTCTCACCGTACCTCTAGGAAGGCAGTGTGAATCCAGTGAGTGGCGGCAGCAACTAAGGAAGGAAAATAGCCCCACCCCCACCAGACAGGGCCCAGGGCAGGTGAAAACATCCCTAGCCACAGAACGGCTGGCTGCTTGGTCTCCCAGGGCTGAGGGTGGGTCCCCGTTCCCTACAATACAGGAAATTCACACAACTACCTCTCCCCCACACCCCCAGCGGCCCCTCCTCCATGCCCAGAAGGCAGCTACTAGTTGCCTAGCCTGGTTTGGAAATCCAAAGGTGCCCAGAGGCTGAAAAAGAGTTGGGAGTCAGTCAGACTCTGTCCCCTGTTCAGGGGACAGCAGTAGAACCAGTGCACAGTGTCCCCCACAACCTGCACAACCAGCCCTCACAATGAGTCTCTTCCCGGACATCTCTGCGGCCAGAGTCATGGAATCACAGAGTTGGAAGGGACTAGCTCTTTGAACTTCCACCTAAGTGTCAGCTAACATCTGATTTGCCCAAAAACAATGGCTTGGTGTGAAAGCAGCCCACTTCGTCAGGTGCATGAAGTGTCACGTCTACTTAGCAAAGAAAGACATGATCCCCTCATGCATGAAGCGAAGTGCAGCCTCTGTCTCCTCTCCTGTCAGTTTATGTCCAACAAATACCAAAAAATTCTACAAGCTATTATCTCCCGAGAGAAACCATGGCTTGGTGTAACGCAGCCCACCTCGTCAGATGCATGAAGTGCCACCTGTAGGTAGCAATAAAGGTCTAGCACTTCATGCATCTGTCAAAGGAGGCAGCCTCTCTGTCTCATGTCAGCTTACCTCAACATACGTCTGTCTCTGATTGCCAAGACCTCTTTGTTAACCTTTGCCCAAAAACCATGGCCTGGTGTGATCGCCGCCCACTTTTCGGGGAACCATGAGGTCACACCTGTAGCACAGAAAGCGTGACTTCATGACTCCCCGGCCAAGGACGCAGCCTCTGTCTTCTCCTGTCAGCTTGCCCGTCTGTCTCTGATGTGCATAGACTTCTTTGTCAACCTGTGTGAAAGACCAACAACACCGCTAATGCCTTAGAAAGTGAGATGAGGGGGTAGCGTCTATCTGTCCAGTGAACCTCCTGTCTCGCGGCAGTACATCAACACCAGCCATCACTGCCTGCCTCGGTGGAGGAGGCTTAGCCTAGGTGTGGCAGCCGCCATTCATCACAGTCTCTCCCTCCCTTATCCCACCACGCCCCTGCAGAAAAGAAAGTTATATTTTTCAATAACCAATGTTACCTCTAAGCTGAGTTAGTGTGAGCCAGCTCACAGTTTTCTAGTCTCCGCCGGCTCACAACTTTTAATCTTAGGCAGGAAGGATGCCTCTAGAAGCAAACTTACTTATGCAGTAGCCAAATCACTCACTCCAGTAGCTCACAAGATTTTCAGCTCACAAGATTCCACAGCGTAGACTCCAGGAACCATTGCAATGCACACAACATGTATTTACAGTATGCTGCTCCTGTGTGTGG